CATGTCGGAACTCCATCCACAGGTAGATGACCTTGATGCCGGAATTGTTCGGGAAGAAGCCGAACGGGCGAAGAAAAAACAAGATGAGCAGAGGGAAGCGAGGGAAGCGAAGACCGCGAAAGAGCGTAAGGCCGTAGTGGTGCTGCCTGAGCCCGCGTCCACAAAGTCCCTTGTCACCGAAACGATAATTCGTTCCACATCGACACCTGGCAACAATGGTTCAGACAGTTACTCTGATGATGAAAATAAAGAGGCGGATTATCGTCCCGAAGTACTTTGGGAAAGGCCACAATTAAGCTCAAGATATGCTGAAAAGGCCAGGTTAGAGATAGAGCCGCTTGAAGACATTTGTCGTCGTGATGAATGCGCAGCTATTCGCAATCTTCCTCGTGACCGACCCTACAGACCTCCTCGTTACGAACCACGATACGAAACTTCCTATAATCGCCCTTACGAACCCAATTACGAGTCGCACTATCATCTTGAAGGCTACCCCAAAGAACAGCCTCACTACCACGACGATCCCCGATTAAGTGCCTTTAATCCAAGTGCCGCCTGCTCGGCTCTCACGTATTCCGTCATACATTCGTCGCACTGTCAGCTGCCTCTCATGCCTTTAGACATGGGAATGGCAGGTATCCAGGAAAACATGGGTATGGTCAATGAAGTCCACAACGTAGGCGTCGAAGTCAGTTCCTTATTCTTAGAAGATAAACCAGAAAAAAAAACCAGTCTAAGCACCTCTAAAACCGGAACCGAGCTTCAAAAACTCCTTTCAAAATCGACTCTCATCATCCAGATGAAAGGAAGTGATAACTCTTTGGCCCCGGATGCATGGCAGGTTATGTCTACAGCTCCACCGACACCAAATCCCACGACACAATTCATGAGTCAGCTCTCGCACACTACCCAATTATTGGCCCCCCACATTGGCCAGCCACCGGAAAGCAGGGACAGGTCCAACGACTACGACGACGCCTTGAATAACATCGCATCATCTGTGAAGGAGATTGTTCGATCGCTGAGCACACTTTCCGACCAGCAAGCTAGAGCTTCGAGTCTCCGTCGAGACCAGTCCGACGACAGCGACGATTATGTTGATGACGACGGTTATGACAATGACGATTACGACGACTACAGGCTTCCATCCCGGAGAGAAAAAAATTCACCTTCTTTTCGTGAAAGACGACGCAGGCAGATAGATCAAGGTGCAGAGGCAGTGTCACTTTGGGGTTGGCTTTGCCGCGGTGGCCGCGATTCTTCAGAAATGACGCCGCCTAGAAGTGGTGAAGCCCGTGCGCCTTCCCAAGAATCGAAGATCGCTGAAGTTGGGTCCAGGATCAGAAATCTTATCCAGAAAGTGATACGCGTCTCAAACGAGGTTGTCGAGGCACGGAAAGTGATCCAGCAGTCCGGCATGCAGGGACCCGAATCCTTGCAGCATATATTTTCTGCTGAAAATAAACTCCGGCAGCTGATTGATCTCGAGGAACAACTCGCCCATGAACTGGCACAGTACAGGCAATATGCCAACGGATCTGACGCGCAGTACTTCGCGAGTCTTGCCGAGGCAGAAGGAAAAATAAGACGTCTTATTGAGGTGAAAACGCAGCTGGCCAACGAAATTGGAGCTTGGCGTTCCATGACTCAAGCAACGTCACAGAATGTTAACACGGCGTTCTACAGGGTCCCTGGCAGAGCCGGTTCCACGTCATCGGCAGCCTCACCGGCTATCGCGTTTTCGCCGTCCTCAAGTTCGACGGGCTACACATCGTAAACATTTACGCCAGTAATTTCTCAACTCATTCTAGTCGTCAGGGAGACTTAGGAAAAGTAGTGTCACCAGGGTCAGCGGCACCCGGGGCAGCGGCCCGCCGTGACACCCCCCCCCCCCCCCCCCCCCCCCTCTTTAGTGACTCCATTGCTTAGGAATGTTTCAGCAACCAGTTGAGTGTATGTTTGCAAAGAAACAATTACTGTTGCAAAGAACACGGGGTGTCGTCGTCGTCAGCGCGAAAACGATCGCAGCTGATGTTATATAAATGTGTAGTTTTATATTTGTATTTTTATTATAAATTTTTAGGGTACAAAAATGCAAATTACATTTCACCGTCCTTCTCGAAATAGTTGTACTGTCCCGTAAGCTGTGCCGATAATAAGTTTTAAATGCTTTGTTCGCGCAAGATAGTTCGATCTTCTTAGTGCCGGTGAGATCATAGAAAGTTTTAGTAGATCGCTCCGATACCTCCGATTACGATGCCTGAGAACGAGAACGGTACGATGCATACGCAAAGACGTCCGCGGAGTATCAGGTAGTGTTATCGGAAGTATCGTGACGGCCTACTAAAACTCTCTGATATGAATGCATGCCGGTTGCAAGACCATCAAGATCGAAACCGATAAGAGTGGTGTAAGCAGCGCTTGGCCGATTAACGTGTTTCAACCTTCGATAAATTTTACTTCCAACTCAGTTTGAAAATAAATCGTTCAGGTTTGGCATGAGCTAGCTCAAATGACGCACACTCGTGCCTGCTCGCGCTTGTATGTCGTTACACAGAACTCACGACGTCGCCTGCGGTTCGAGAAGCTGCCTAGCTCGAACACGTACTTTTGTTTATCGGTGAGTGTGGTACCAATGGTACCACCCGATGCCGTCGGCGCACGATAAAAATAAATATAGTACTATGATAGCTCAAAAAAGGAAATGGCGACATATGTCTGAAGAGAGTGAGGTCCATCTGCTGGCGCAATGCACCGTCGTAGCCAGTGCATGTCGACGCTGCATGGTTAGCGCTGTGGATAATAAATTCAGTCGGTGCTGTACCACTGCTAGCCCGGGAAACAAAATGAGCTGGTGCCGGGAATTGTAGCAAAAGCGCGCGTGTGTATGAAGGCACTCTAGGGAATTGATCTTTCGTACGCTCTCTAGCGTACATAAGCTTAAAAAAATTTTATTTATTTTTTATTTTTTTAACAGTGTGGTTGAGACACGCGTGTAAAAAAAAAAAATAATTTTACGCGAAAAAGATTTAGAGCAATATTGACGGCGTGAGACGCGATTTAGTCGGCATGCAGTCACCTTCTTTTCACTTGTTTTCTCTCTCGACATTTTGGGTGCGTGGAGAAGAGGTGGATCGGCTTCGCCTTCGCGACCGATATGGTCATTCCGGAACGACCCATGACGTCATGGACTTCGCGCGCAGAATTTCAGATAAATCTCTCGCCGCCAATATTGCTCTAATTTTTTTTTTTTTTCTTTCGCGTAAATTTATTTTTTGACACGCGTGTCCTAACAAGACCGTTTAAAAAGCACTTTTTTTCTTTTCAGTGGCCCTTTAAGGGATACTTTCTCCTTGAGCTCCTCTCTTGTCGTGGCTAGTGCCACTAAATAAGCTACGCTTCAGAGTAACGACACTTGGCCATATTGTGTCTTAAAATCATGGTTTTCAGTTATCTGAAGCTTTATCTGAAATCACAGGAAACGCTTTTTCGCCCTCCACAGATGTTTAAAGAGTTGGCGACTGAGCAAATCAATATTACATGAGCTTCCTTACACCGAATCTAAGGCTGAGGAAGTCCCACTTTTGAACCATGACGATCGGCAGTTGCGTCTGCCCTGCATACGAGCCAAAATGGCGGCGCCCACAACAATGTCGGGGAACGGAGTGCCGATACTCTAAGCGCAGCTCATTTAGTGGCTCTAGTCGTGGCTAAAGTCGTGGCCGGAGGCGAGGCAGTTACCGTCACTACCTGTCAAGGTTCCTAGACGGGCATTACAAACGAGGCGTTAGCGACATCCACCAGGCGCTCTTTGCTAATCGTTTCATTCGTTTTAAAATTCCTTTTCGTGTATTTTTCAACGAGAGATTGGTGTGGCTGATGTGATAATGCTCCACTGAACACGAATAGACCAAGAAATAAGCGCCGGATTTACGTGGTAGTATCCCTTTAAGCGTCCTCCTGGAATTTTTTTTTTTTTTTATGGTATGTAGTTGAGGCCTTAGGTGCTTCAAAATTAATTATATTAGCGAGCCTGGTTCTGAAAGTTCCGTTGATTCCGTTCAGAATGACCGAAACAACGCCGATAATCTAATCACTGGGAAAGCTGCCTGCAGCACACAATGTGATAAGCAATGCAAGTATTTTGTAGCCTCGTGAAAAACCATGAGCCACAGTTGTCTCGGTGTCTTTTTTGTTGCTATGGTCTTGGTTGTTGTGGATGCAACCGGCACGCATATGGAAAGCAGCCTTATCGAGCCATAATACCGTAATGAGGGACATTATATATCAAAATAATTTGACAAAACCAGCAGTAGAAGTAGATGGCGCGGGACCTGCCATCTCGCCACTCGGATAGTCCCAGTAAGACGCTACAATTGCTCCAAGATTTGCTGTGAAAACATCATATTGGAAAGTAATACAAACGCAACCCGTATATTTAGTTTAGTTTCTTTCTTATTTCTTCGTTGATTATCTACCGAGACACAGCAGTAGTTCAAGCAACGTTACGAAAACACTCACTTGGGAAACTCACCCTTGAAACCCGGACTGCTCGCGTCCACCGAAACCAAACTGGATACGATAACAAAGCCGCCCTTTAGCGATGAGTCAAAACTTGAAAGTTGGTTTACATAGTGTAGTATCTGGAGTAACAGGCCGATGGGGTTCTTCGCTGGCACATCTTTATTGCAGGACTACCGGAGTACGACACATAGTCACGGGCGTGAGAGAGCGGCAGGATAGCAGCGGGTGGTGCAAACGGTGCGCTGGCTCAGATAGATATGGCGCCCCGGAACAGTGGCGCGAGACGCACGAGCGCGCGCTAGCTGTTGCCCCGCTTATTGTGTCACCCATACAACACTCCCCCACACTTAGTTCAGCACAGTAATACCATTCGACGGCGTTCCAGTGCAATACTCACAAAGTAACACGATATGACAATTTAACAAAACACGAGAATAATTGAAGTTCTGGAAAGTACAAAATACAGACATACTAAATACAAAATAATTACAGTTCTGAAAAACACAAAGTCCTCGTCTTTTTCTCTTCCTTCTCAAGGCGAAAACCTATTAGGCGCACGCCGTTGCCGTTCGGGATACCGGCGCTGAATTTCTTGCGGCTGGGCTGGGGAACGACCGGAGACTGGAGTTGATCCCATGTCTTGTCCCTCTACCACCGGTGACCCAACTGGAGGCAGCTCGTTCACGAGTCCCCCTTGCCCTGGGGTTGGCGATGATGGCAGGACACTCGGTATCAGCAAACCACCTTCCTCCTCCTCTGGGGTAGAGCTCTCCCGCAACCGCAGGTGGTCTTGGTGTCGCCGCCACACGAAGGTCCCCCGCGGTGTGGTCACGCGAAGCCTGTAGGAGACCGGTCCGGATCTAGCCATGACGACTCCGTGCAACCACCTCTCACCCGGCCGGAAGTTCTTGACGTACACCTTATCACCCGGCACGAAGTGTCGGTGTTTGCCACTGTGCTTCACCTGTAGCACGTCCTGCTTGCGGTGAACAGTTTCCTCTGCAGAGGGTCGCAGTCTGTCGAGACGGGTAGTGAGCCGCCGCCCAAGCAGCAACTCCGCAGGACTCTGAAGGGTTGTGGCGTGCGGTGTGTTTCTGTAAGCTAACAAGAAACTTGCTAGTCGACGGGACAGAGGCCGGCCCGGCATCTCTTTTCGTAAGGCGTCCTTCAGGGTGCGGATGAAACGCTCAGCCAGCCCATTACTTGATGGATGGTAGGGGGCGGTCCTGACGTGCCTCACACCGTTCTCTCGCAAGGAGATCTGGAATTTGTTGGGAACAAAATTGGGGGCCATTGTCACTGACAACAACATCTGGCAGACCGAAATGACTAAACAGCTCCCTCAGCTTTTCAATAGTTGCTTCGGCCGATGTGCTGTTCATCACAAAAACCTCGGGCCACTTGGAGTGGGAGTCGACGCTCACCAGAAAATGGCGGCCCTGGAAAGGTCCCGCAAAATCCAAGTGCAGCCTTTGCCACGGACGAGTTGGCCAGGACCACGGATGCAGCGGGGCTGGACCTGGAAGACTCTGCTGCTGTTGGCAGGTATCACACGACCTGACGCGATATTCAATATCCGCATCGACCTCCGGCCACCATACATAGCTGCGTGCCAGTTCTTTCATCCTTACGATTCCAGGATGCCCTTCATGCAGCTCGTCCAGTACGCGTTCGCGCAGTCCCTTCGGGATCACAACCCTCAATCCCCACAAAAGGCAATTCTGGTGCCACGTCAGCTCGCTTCTTCTTGCAGAGTAACGCTTCAGACAATCTTCTACTTTTGCGGGCCACGCACCGGCAAGGAACCTTGCCACTTGACAGAGCTCTTTATCTTTTGCTGTAAATTGTGCGATCTCTTGGCTGCTTACCGGAAAAGACTGCAGGCGGAGACTGAGAAACGCCGCGACGTCATCCTCGTAGTCTTCATCCTGAAACCCAGGAACTGGAAGTCGTGACAAGCAGTCCGCCTCCACGTTGAGTCGACCCGGTCGGTAAACCAATCGGTACTGATAGGCGGAAAGGGTAATAGCCCATCTCTGCAGACGTGCGGCAGCAATGCTCGGAATTCCCGTCTTTGGACCAAGAATGGTTTGCAACGGTTCGTGATCAGTGACCAACACGAAGGATCGTCCAAACAAGTAGATGTGAAATTTCTTCACGCCAAACACAATAGCCAGTGCCTCCTTTTCTAGTTGGCTGTAGTTCTTTTCACTCGATGTCAAGGTTCTCGACGCAAACGCGATAGGCCGTGTGTCGCCGTTGGCGTACACCCTGGACAGGACGGCTCCGAGACCGTATGCCGAGGCATCACATGACACCTGAAGGTCTGCCTTGGGGTCGTAGTGTGCCAGGACAGGTGCGTCAACCAGAAGCCTCTTCACCATGTTAAAAGCGTCTTGACAGCGCTTGCTCCAGGTCCAGACGACATCTTTTCTTAGTAGCTCGTTCAGCGGTGCTATTGTGGTCGAGAGGTCTGGGAGGAACTTTCCGTAGAATGTCACCATTCCCAAAAACGACCGTAACTGTTTTGAGTCTTGCGGTTGAGGTGCATCGAGGATCGCTTGCACATTTTCTGCCAACACAGCTACCCCTTGCTCGCCGACTTGGTGCCCCAGGAACTTCAAACTTGCCTTCAAGAACTCACACTTTTCTTTCTTGACTCGGACGCCCTTGTCACTCAGTTTCTTTAGGACTTGCTCCAAATTCTTCAGGTGATCCCCGGCGGTCTTCCCTGTTACCAGGATATCGTCGAGATAGCAGGTTACTCCTTGAATTCCCGCCAGCAAGCTGTCCATTATCTTTTGAAACAGTGCTGGAGCTGAAGCGATCCCAAACGCCAAACGCTTGACGCGGAAGAGACCCTTGTGCGTGTTGATTGTCAGATAGGGTTGTGACTCAGGGTGGACCGGAACTTGCTGGTATGCACGACTTAAGTCTATTTTCGAGAAAACAGTCGCCCCAGCTACCGTTGCTAGAATATCTTCCAACCTTGGCAACGGGTACTGCTCCACGTCCAGGCAAGGGTTTACCGTTGTTTTGTAGTCCCCGCAAAGGCGTACAGACCCATCCTTCTTCAAAACCGGGACAACTGGTGTAGCGTAGTCACTATGAGCCACCGCTTCAATGACACCTGTCACCTCCAGTCTCTTTAGCTCTTCTTCTATACAGCTGGCTTCAGGGCGAACGGCATACTTCTAGCTTTCAGAAACTTTGGACTCGCACCTTCCCTTAAGCTTAGCCGAGCCTCTTCCCCTCGCATGCATCCGAGCTCGTCCTTGAACACATCCTGGTAGCGTATTAGGATGTCTTGGAGAGACGCTTTTACATCAACGCTGACCGCGTTTAGCGATCCCAAGTCAAACTTGAGCTTGTAGACCCAGTCTCTGCCAATCAAAGGTGGCCCATCTTCTCCCAGTACGTGAAGCGGAAGTTTTCCCTTGAAGTCTCGGTACTATACGTCCACCGTCGCCACTCCTTTTGGCTTGACACGCTCGCCGGTGTACGTGCGCAGTATTAGTGACGCCGGAGACAGCTCTGTGCGAGGAAACAACGATTGGAACTGGCGTTTCGAAATGATAGACACGGCAGCACCGGTGTCTAGTTCCATCTGAAGATTAGCGTTCCCGACCTTGAGCGTGTAGTAGAACGGCGCATTCATGTTTCTGTCTTGAAGCCCGTATATCGCTTCACTCTTTTCTTCCTCAGCGGAGAAGTTTCTGAACTGTTTTGCTCTGCCTGGTGTATTGGCCAGTGATGCTTTACAGAAACGTTGGAAGTGACCCTCACGGTTGCAGCGATAACAAATAGCGTTACGGTGCGGGCATGACGAGGCAATGTGCTTAGGGGACCCACAACGGAAACATTTGTCCTGAGCCCCCACTACCGCTTTCGGTTTCACCGCCGTCAGTTTCTGCAGTTCGAGTTGGTCGTTGTCCGCCTTATTATGACACGCCTGCACATTCATGGTGGCTCTTTCAATAGTTAACGCTTTTTCCACAGCTTTCTTGAATTTCAGGCTCTCATCTTCGGCAAACAAAACTCTCTGAATGTCAACACGACTCAGACCGCTGACGAATCTGTCTCTGAGGGTTTCTTCCAGGTTGCTTCCAAAATTGCACGTCTGTGTCATTCTTTTGAGCTCGGCGACATATTTTCCGACCGATTCCCCTTCCTGTTGTTCTCTCTTATGGAACGTTGCCCTTTCTGCGATGACCGACGGCCTCGGCGACAAGTGGTTTCGCAAAACGGCCAGCACATCTTCAAAACTCTTCAATGCCGGGTCCTCAGGCGCTACTAGAGTCTTGAGCAACTTATACGTGTCAGCTCCTATGAGGCTTATGACCACGTCAACTCGGTTTGCGTCCGCTACCCCGTTCGCTCTCAAAAAGGCTCGCAACCTTTCCTCGTAGGATAACCAATCACACTTCGTGTCATCAAAAGGTTCGACTTGCCCGAATAAGGCCATCGTGACTGCCGTCCGGTCCTCTGGTCCTTGATTCAAGATGCCAGATACTGGAACATCGGTTGAAAGGCCCTCAGTTGCTGAGTCGTCGGACGGTCTCTGCATCCCGTTGTAGCAGCGAAATCCGTGTCCTCGTCGCCACTGTGTAGTATCTGGAGTAACAGGCCGATGGGGTTCTTCGCTGGCACATCTTTATTGCAGGACTACCGGAGTACGACACATAGTCACGGGCGTGAGAGAGCGGCAGGATAGCAGCGGGTGGTGCAAACGGTGCGCTGGCTCAGATAGATATGGCGCCCCGGAACAGTGGCGCGAGACGCACGAGCGCGCGCTAGCTGTTGCCCGCTTATTGTGTCACCCATACAACACATAGCTACTGCGAAACGGCACTGCGAGATGGCGCCACCGGCCTTTGCGAAACTCGTGGAGGTAAGAAGCTTCGGGAGGCGACATGACGCCACTAGACGTGAAGGCGGGGGTTTAAAGGGACACGCCTCCCACGACGTCCGAAACCAAAAGACGCTATACGCCTCGCAAGTGGGCTCATTTTCGTCTTCTGCGCATGAGAAAGGAGGCGCGAAGGCGGGAGAGGAGGTTGATGACGATTCCGACTAAGCTCCGCCCTCGCACATGTCGGGGGAGGCCGGGGGGTAAACAAACATCGGCGTCGGCCATGGCGGCCGTGTTGTAGCGGCGACCGCGAGTCTTTTATTTATTGTAGCCCGGTTAAAATTTGCCGAGTCCACAAGATCGACCAGCTTCGTGCCCCTTACGATTCCTCCGTCGTCTGCTAGAGGCATTTCGAAGATTCCAAGATGAAGACGACGAAGAGCATCAAAAGAAGGCGCTTGCCTAGCCTCGCGATTGAAACGCCGGTTGCGCCGGTCACTACGAGACCGCCGCCCGATTGTACCGGTAAGTTGCCTTTTATCTTGTTCTTCCTTTACGAACACGACGGATTTTGCCTTCTAGCAGGTCTTTATAAATCTTGTGTGGCGGAGTCGATAGGCGCTATTAATCGAAAAACGGCCGAGAATGTAGCGCTTTCGCGATCCTCCGAAGCCTATCTTCGCAGGTGATATTTAGGAATATATACTCGTCATTTCGACTCGAAGCTGCACGGAGGCCGTATAAGCTATGTTCCGTTTCATTTTAAATGCGGTCGAAGTTAAATCTACATGGGCGAATCCCGAGCTTTGATCATAGCTGCCATGCATGTGCGATCTTGCAGTGCAAGCGCTGATCAGGTTCTCGCGTTTGTAATTTTCGCTTCGTTCGCACTTAGGTGAGACGCAGTATAGTCATACATCGTATTTGGTATAGTAGTTGCAGTCTACGGTTGTAATCATGGCACTGTAGAAAAGCACACAGCTCAAAACTTACCGCAAAAACGCGATCGTTTTTTTTTTTTTTTCTTTCGGGAATGAAATATGAATGGCTGTTACGTGTAATACAGTGAACCAACTCGGACAGTACAAATTTGCCGTTTCACATTAGCCAGTATGAGTGAATTGCCGACGAAGTACCGATGCCGCCTTTCTGCGAAATGTGTTGCGCAGTGTATCTTGGAACCACATCGACGCTGTCAGTGTCTGACGTGTTTTTGCGTGTCACTTGTCTCTTTTTTCGTTCCCATACCAAGATAAAAATTCGGAGATCGCGCACTATCCAAGCCTAGCTAACGAGCGCCCCATGGAATTGACACGGGAGTAAACAATGACTAATATGTACATATTTTTGTTCGCTCAGCAGACTGGGTCAAGCAAAAGCCAGTGTATAAGTGACAAACTTTCTAACATCATTTGTCATTTCTAGGTCCCAGATGGGCTGTTGACATCCAGAAACGCACCAACAGATGGTGGTCATACAGCGATTGTGAAGACATTCCCATTTGGATCCACATTCCTAGTCCACTCATTGATAATCTTTCCTTGTTTCATCAATGCCCAAGCATGCCAGGTGCTGAGTGACTACTCGCATGTGTTAGTGATGGTGGCATGCGAGGCTTCAGTATTGTCGCTGCAGATAGGGCTCACCCTCACACCAATGCTGTTTTGGTCTACCTTTCCATGGAATTGTTTGGTTGATTCCAATTTCCTAGAAACGCCAATATTCAGTTTGGTGTGCCTTGCGGCTGAAATAGATTCGTCAAGGAGGTCTCGTCTCTTTCATGGGAGTAACACCATGTCAGCTGCTGTGCATGAGCCACTTGGAAACTGTTCGGACTGCTCTAAAGCACTTGTGATTGACCTTACCTGTTGTGTCCATGCTAATGCTGAAATGTAAAGTTCACTGAACCAAGTTTTACTAATGAACAAACACAATCAGTGGAAAGGTTGAATGGCTTTATTTGTTTTCTCGAAGTATACGCTATTTCATACATAATACATGATGCTGGCAAGGCTACTTTCATTAGCATGCAGGCAATTTAGTCTACATTTTGTTTCACGATAGCTTGGTGAACTGTGGAGGCTACGGCTCCTGCGACCCAGTAAGAATGTCGGAGCGAGGCACATGGACGCATGTCACAGGAGCGTTCGTGTCACCGCGCCAAATGCAAGAACCACCCGCCAGAACCGGCTGTCGTCTTACAGCCACATGCTCAATTTGCCCATGAATCTGTGGCGGGTGCTAATGCTAGGGCGATGTTTTGAGCGGAAGTGGTCGATTCACGGCTACAATTGTTTGAACTTCGATCACAAGCCATGTTTTTCTCAGAAAAGTGTTGATCTATATTAAGTGTCGCTAGTAAGTAACAAATGTCTTCGTCTTTCTTCAGTGTCGTGTAGTGTTGCGGTCCGAAGAATCCGACGGCAACACTACTAAAAGAAGAAAAAGAAACAAAGCCTAGAACTAGGTTTTGTCGCAGATGGCGCTCTTGCTGTGGCAATAACGAGGACTCGACCGTGGAGTGTTGTCACGTGCCTGGCTCCGATGCTCTTATTGGGTCGCAATGTTTGCCAAGTTACCGAGAAACGGAGCATAGTGTCTCACCTGTACACGCTATAAAACAAATGAGATGCCAGGTGTAGCAACTCACGCAGCTGTAGCCCTTATATTATTCTTTGCTATGCTGTTTGGAAAAATACATAAAAAAATCAGTTTACAAAGCCGAATCTAATTTTTTGCCCTCTTGCATGTTACAAAAATAAAAGCATCACGCCTGAACACCAACATCTGTCTCTAAATTATTCCTTGCTGAAATGAAAAATAAATATACTGTGAATACGAACCAATATAATCTCAAACAGGTTTAAGAATGGATATGATTCAATAAACAATTATTTCAATCTGCAAGCTTGAAATCAAGTATGTGTGTGCATACTTGACCCTAATCTTTCGACTATTCCCTGTTGACACTTGTTCTCGAAGGATAGAGACTTCGTCGATTTAACGGCAGTTCAAGCATTGGTCAGGCGACATGCTCATGTTTATAGTTTCGGCTGTGCTATAGGAATAACAAAGGTGAGTTGTGTATTGCTGAGTCAAAACAGAACTCTCAGGTCTAAAAGGCTTCTTAAAAATGCACTAAATCTGGTTTTGACTCCATAATTACATGACTCGAACATAAACTACTCACTTCAGCAAGTCTAAGAATTCACAAATAATCTGTGAAAATGTATTCTGCTTTTATCTTCATTCACTTATGAAACTGATTGCTTATATAAAATATGCAATCATTCTTGCACACCTCCCCATTGCGAGAAGGAAAAGGGAGATTCGTTGGCTTTTTTCTCTCGCCGGAAAGCAGAAAAAGAAAAGGAACAGGTTTCAATGTGCACATTACGTTGAAGTGGGACAGTTACGGAAACAAATTCTGCATCTTCAGTATTCATGAAGTAGGCAGATTACTTTCAAGTCGTAAGAGGATAAAGTCAGAAACAACTTCAGCTCGCCTTCAATCAAATTTTCCCTTTAGATCCAGGGACGTTTCACCTTCATAACGTCATCAGTACCAATTGGCATCCATTCAGGACTGTAATGGTAGATGTACAAGCTTGACCTCAAGGTCGCAGTGCCCTCCTTTCATCTCCTTGCAGTGCGACCCCTCGTGCACTTGGTCCCAGATGGTGAAGCTGGTGCTGGACAGGATGTCGTCCCCTGTAAAAGAGTCGTCCCAGTAGTCAAACGATCCGGTTACACTCTTGAGCAGCGTATTTGTCCTCCCATGCCATTAGCAACTGAAAATCAGTGAAACCCTATTTTTTAAGCAGCAGAATGCATAAATGGACATGTCTATTCCATTCCCTTCAAACCGAATACCTGCCAACATCCAAGGGATGCAAATCAAAATAAATAGCATTGTATTATTTGCTCTTTTGAGACTCCTTGAACTTAAACCAACTCAAACACTACCACAATTTTAAAGCTGGGAACTTCGAGGACACCTCTCCATATACTGAGATTACATGCTTGTCCCACTCCTGGCTTGTCCTCAGCAGGGTTGGCCAGCGTGTCCTCATACTCCTGGGTTGTTAGTCTTGGAAGTTAAAGCTTTGGTTTTTGTCATTGCTTGGTTGCTGGTAGATGCTGGAGGAAGCTTGTACTGTTACTTTGAAACATTAAGTTTACAAATTGAACACTAACCCGTATTGGTGGTTGAATGCAGAAGCTAGATTTGTCATGTCAAGGAGGTTGTCATAAAACAGTGGGCACGGGACTGAACATAGCGGCGGAGTGGGCGACCGAGGCGCATTCGGGAGTATCAAAGAAGACAAGGTGTGTGAGTTTTGCGCGAAAGCAGGACGATCGGCCAGATATGTGAGGATGTGGCGTCGAGAGAACTTGAAACGGGCTAACTGCATGACTGTTATCTGAGCTACATTAACCAGAGGAGAAGAGAGAGTAACAAGTGAACAACACTCTACAGCTGAGGAGGTAATTGACCAGGTTATTTCACCCAAGCATCACAGTAGTCATTTCAACGACCAAGAAAAAAACGTCCAAACATCAGCACAGCAATACCAGCAGCGAGCCAAGGAATCGGGTTGTGTGTATGTTTATACAGTCTCGAACTTGATCTGCCTCAACGGGCGATGGGTCTCCCAGCTGTAGATGACCGCTAGCCTGGGGCCCTTAACGTGCACCACGTAGCAGTGACACACGACCGCACGCCAATACAGCGCTCATCCAGATCGAAACGGGCAAATGTGGGGATTGAACACACGATTCTGGGTTCTGCAGCGCGAGCTTTCACTCCACATTCTCCGAGCTGGTGCGTGCAAGCCCCCTCGGCCACCAATCCCCCAGTGCCAGGGAATAACATATAATAAATGACAATGGTACAGTGGTCTGCAACAGGTAGCTTTTCAGTGCCTTGAGAAACCAGGTTGAGATCACGTGACACTTTCCTGCCATATGTGGCTTGCAAAATAGAGATGCATAAGTCATAAAGAAAGTAATAATTTGATTTTGTTTTTACTAAAGACATCAGCATCTGTATTTGGCTTCCACAACTTCTGAAAGCTACCGCTGAGTGCATAGAGTGGTTTCTTTCATAATCTTACCTCCATGGAGAACTTCCCAGCTGGTAACGGGGTCGTGAAACGCAGACCCCCGGAAGTCGCACAGGCGCCGAGGGCATTATACAGGGCCCTCAGCATGTCCTCCGAGCAGAGGGCCCTTTCAGTAGCCCGGCAGCCGGTGGATTCTGTTGGAATGATAGGGTAGGGGGAACACAAGCATTTGCAGGTTAACGGACCTCAGAAAACTAGTAGGCAGGTACGAAAACATGCTACTCGCCCCCGCAGCGTTTGCCTCACTGGCACTTTATGGTGAAACAAATCAGCAGCGAGCGACTGATGGAACACGCGTCAGAAGAACAGTTCGTCTTGAGTTTAACACCCTAGGACGGCGCTTTATCGCGCGCGTGAAGCATTGGCGTAGCCAGGTTTTCTTGGGGCCGGGGGGGATTTCGGGTGCGAGGTACTGAACATCCCCTCCCTGGCTACGCCACTGGCATGAAGTGACATCGGATGTCACTTAGACACGGCGCTATCACTGCTAAAATAGGCTACCATCGAACACTGAGTCGTGACTGCGAAGTTTATGACCCACATACAGATATCCTACCACACTATCTGTTTGGACAAGTGGCATACAATCTGTCGATGGGGGGACAGACTAAGAGAGACAACTGCGCACTCGGCTCGGTCGTACCACACCGATCGCCTAATCCGCTGCTTTTTCGTAACATTCCGTTTTACTTTGCTATACTCCTTTCACGTGCAACTGTTTGTGAATGATGCGAACTGTACAGAAACGACGTAACTCACCTCAGCGAGCGCCATGACGCTGTTCTCCGGGTTCCAGCGCTGCGGGAGATCGGCCTTCGAAAGCTCGGCTGCCCGTTCAGCTCGCCGAAGAGGGCTGAAGCTACACTTCGGTGCTTCACGGAGACACCGAGACACTTGCTGGCGAAATGGGGTCTCCGCCAAAAAGTAGAAAGGCTCACTCGCGTCGCACATCACCGTGCTGACGTTCGGGGGGCTCACATCAACATCTCACCGCCGAAGACCGGGACGCATATTGGTGCTTCGTATGCTCCCAGGGTAAATTCTTTCGCGTCAAACGAAGTAACGTACATTTCGAGGTATTTCCGGTCTCTTTTTTCCGTATGCCGCGTCTTCGTTCAAGCACTAGCAGTGGATTTCCGAGAGCCACAGAAAAGGCCTTCCGCAATGGCTGCGGAGAAAAGACGACACCGCTTTGTTTACCCCCGAGCTCCCGCCAGCTCCCGCCCGGAGCCATCCTCCAATCAGAGCGCGGCGAGGTGACGTCACGCCACCGGCCTGCGCGAAAGAGCAGACGGCTTTCCCTCCGTATTGGACGAGAAGGCGGGCTGATTTGGCACCAACGGCTGTTTTGGTCACCCTTGAGGCGTTCCAGAGCCGTTTATACTGAGAGAGTTTGGCCTTCTTAAGGAGATTTTGGCAGTCTGACAACCACAGCAGCGTAGTCTGACAACCGGGGGATGACTACTTCCGTCCGCCATATTGTGGATCTGACTCATAGGAACTCTACGCGATTTCACAGGAATGAACAAGACAAAGAAGTAACGCCATATTGTGTTATCGCGAAATCCGCTGGTTCTAGCGGCCAACAAGCTCCGCCCATCGGCCAAACTCTCTCAGTATAAACGGCTCTGAGGCGTTCCGACCCAATGCGACCTCTATTTCCGGCTTGACTTGGGATTGTCGCGGTTGGCTGGCTTGAATCCAAGGAGATCAGACTACAGTGTTCTAGAATACTTGGGTATAGTGGGTAGTGTTGGGACCGGAGCGGCTCGCCTGAGGCGCGTGGTATTGATCGCGACAGGTGTCGACACCGGCGCGTTACCCAGAAGGTGTGCGCATGCGCGGCTGCAGGCGCGAATATATAAAGTGTTGGCGCCGCTTTGGTAGAGTGCACATAGGATTTCTGATGCAGCTACGACCTACCAGCGGACGTACCGCGGCATCAATTACGCTGCGGCACGACCGCTGACAACATGATGGTTCAATGTATTGGACCGGTGCAAGCTATATTACTCTGCCTGCACCTAAAAACTATTGCGACTTCAAAGAAGCGGAGTGCAAGTTGTTTCAGCGTAGGATTAGCTGCTACTTTCGGTTCGTCGGATGGTGGGCCTTTTAAATTAAATGCCCATATCCTTGGTTGCAAAAGGCCAAACATTAGATATTTGGCGGAAATAGCTAAAACTCGGAAACAGAGCTCTTTTTTTTTTTTTTTTTTTTTTGCTATCTTATTTTATGATGGAACGAAACAGCACATAATAAAGCCCGAGATTGTTTTAGTATGTTCTTAAGTACTCCAGGTTAACTTCTCCGTCTTCATTTCTGCCCGTCTTCCTCTTCTTGACCTGAATCGGCTCGCTTCTTTTGTCCCTCATCCTTGTGTTCATTTATGCAACAAATCACACAAGCGACGGTTGCAAAATATGATAATCTTATATTTCTTCATGGCTGCCATGACCATCCGAGGACCACCCGACGTTCACTTCTAAAAATGGCTTATAAGCCGTGACATTTTTTATCACGCGTTTTAACATTGAACTTAAGTCCAAAAACTGAGACAACGTGGGCTGAAAAAGTAATGCTTTATCAGATTCAAAGAAGAAAACAAGCAACTCTTTCACACCATTTAGACCAGGAAACAGCAGCACACGTAAATAAGGCGATGTAAAAGTTGTAATAGTTCACAGCACGACATTAAAATGCATGGTTGCAATGTGCAGCGCATAAATGGTTATAATGTGCAGCGCATACATGGTTACAATGTGCAGCGCATACATGGTTACAATGTGCAGCGCATACATGGTTACAATGTGCAGCCCATATATGGCCCTGAAGGTATACTTGGCATACCACATCAGGCAAGTTGTAGAAACAAATGAACCCGCCTTTTCGATGCTGACCTTGTCGGACTTCGGCTAAATAGCAGTCTCCAAATAAGCAACACCGTCGAAGTTGCTGAACTTGTGAACAGCCCAGTAGGGAGTTGGCATGTTCAGGGAGCTATAGTGCGTCGCGATCGATGCCTTGTGGGATCACGTCAGGAGCTTTGCTGTTCACCACTGGTGACAACGGGTCAGTTTCCCCAGCAAGCCCAAACACTTCACAACGATGGGCTCTGGTGGACCTGCCTTCCCCTTCCTTTCCTATCGTCCTGCGCGAGGGTCACCACCAGGGTGTAAGATAGACAGGTGGGGAAACGGCTCATAGAAGCCTACCGCAGCGATGTGACCGGATTGTGTACTCGTCTGCTTGCGGGTACCCCCGATTTGCGACAGATGGCGCTGCGGCGAGAGGAAAAAAATTGGAATCGGATTTGCATGGACATGGTTAAAATTGCGCACAAATAGAAAGGTACAGAGAAGAGGGAAGAGAGAAGAGACAAGCGCAAACTCACAACTCGATGTATTGATGGAAGAATCTTCCATCAATACATCGAGTTGTGAGTTTGCGCTTGTCTCTTCTCTCTTCCCTCTTCTCTGTACCTTTCTATTTGTGCGCAATTTTAACCATGTTCAATCATTACCAACTCGCCCAACTAACCACTTTACTACGATTTGCATGGAACTCTATGGGAGAGTGCGCAAAATAAACCGAGAGCACCACAGACCTTCATTGAAAATCCACGAGAAATCGTCTCCGTCAGTTTAGTTGGTCGCCACCGGTCGCCTACCCGGAGTGAGCGTTCGCGGTGCTCCACATAGATGGCGCCACAGAAAAAGAGAAAACCGAGGGGGACACAATCCGGTCGCTCATTTGGCTCTCGTTTCCCAACCTGTCTCTCTTACACCCTGGTCACCACTCAGGCCCTGGAGTACACTTGGCAGCAGAGTCGGCACAGCGTCTGGCGTAAGCGCGGGGTGTCCACAAGGAATCCTTACTTCCTTTCCGCCGATTATGTGGACGTCGTCTCGAAGGATGTAGCGGCGTGCGCTCGAAGTGCAGCTCGCAGACAGCGCTTGTTTCTTTAAGACGCTTGTCCGGCCGTTGGAGATTTCTTTCCCTAAAATCTCTCGTGGCACTGTCGTTTGGAACGCCGAAAAGGGACGCCGTTTTCGCGTCTTTCACTCGGATGCGGCCCGTTTAGCAACTACGTGCGCAGCAAGAGTTCTGTCGCCGTTTCGCCGACGGCATTTCGGCGCTGCACTTGCGCGTTCACCATCCGCAAAATCAAAACACACAAGATTTAAAACATATTTCGATCGAACACACGGAACTATGAAATCGTGGTCGGGTTACCGACGCGCGCACGGCTCAAAGTAAAAAAGAATAGCGTCGATCGTTCACTTTAAACGCATTTTCCGCCAAATGTGGCGGGCTGCGAGATTTTTTCCGATAACAAGACTACAGCGCCGCCACAAACTGTCAATACACGCGCCCTCACGAGCTCCGGTTGCCGAGCCGCTCCCTAGTCCCAGCACTACCCAAGTATTCCAGTACACTGTAATCAGACAATAGGAAGGGGCATGACGTCTGCCTCGCAGACTCCACAAGCCATGCTCCCTTGTCGCCTCGCCTCTTTCTCATTTTCCTCCTTACCCTCCTCACTGATCGGGCCAACGTGACCTCAGCACGTGACCGTCGCGTGGTTGATGGTTGTGGGTAGTAGGGAGCGTAATGCTGGTGGGATCCATTTATCAGTCATCACAGCTAGAAACTGTGGCCCGCTCCCCGCCGACCGATTCTTCGCCTGCTGCGCTTCGTTATATACCCTCGACTATGAAGTAAATGCATTCTGTTTTCTACACACCGTTACCATCCTGAAAACGTTAGTATTCAACGTGTATTATCTTCCCGTCTTGGCTCAGATCGGAAGGTTGAAAGATACTCGCATTGTGTGTGTGTGTGTGGGGGGGGGGGGGGGGGGGGGGGGGGTAGGGGGTAGGGGTAGGGGGTAGAAAAGAAGATAAAAGTAACGTTTAATACTTAATGCGGTTGGGGTGGCCACTCAGGCTGAGGTTCCGTTCACGGTCTCTACTCAGGCATTCGAGTTTTACACGTGCACGTGCACACACAGTGCTCTGGC